CACTGGATTTCAGACTGCTGCTAATGTCTTCAGAGAGGGACGTGGGCGGGAGAGGAATGCATGTTATCTTGACTGAGATATTTGAATGAAATCTTATCTTTATAGTGAGAGTGTAAAGATTAGACGGCATAAAGTGCGTGGGCTGTGAGCGTGTGTGTGTTTCAGAAAGAAAGACTTCCTGCGTGTTTGACGTGTCTCATCGCAGATCAAAGACACTTTCTATGAAGCGTGTGTAGTAGGAGGAGACAGCTCGCCCATGTCCTGCTGAAGGGATCAACAAGAGCTCTGACACATGAAACAACCGAACTCTCGTTAATGTTTCTGTGTGGCCTCTAACCGCCAGAACCACGGGACACCGCGTCGACCAGTCAGCTGACTCTGAGGGAGTCAGGTGGGAGACACCCACTATGCTTAATTTAAAGATGACAACATCAAGCTCATTTAATGATGATAATAATGAAGCACGTTTACTGCAGGAAACCAGATGACCCGGCGCTGCAGACCGGTTCCCCGTGCAGGGACAGAAGATCGTGGTCACTTCCTGTAAAATAACTTCATGACAGTTAAAATGGAAAAATAAATCTGATCAGTTCACGGTGGCCTGCAGGGGCAGATGGAGGCTGTAACTCACTTTCCACTGAAGCCGAGATAAAGTCAAACCTCAGAGATATTTCCCTTTCCTGACTCCTTTTAGGTCAAATATTATTATCACATCAGGCGCGATTTCCTTCAGCTGTGGTGTTAAAAATAAGTCCGAGAGTGGTTTGTATTATCAGCCTCACAGATAATAAAATGCTCACGCAGGTGGAGCAGCTCCCACTGCTGCGGAGTCACAAACGTGTCGCTGCAGTCTCCATCAGTTACCCCTGCTCTTCATCTTTATGACAGGAATGAGATGATTTTAGGCATTTTAAAAACGTGTGGAATCTAAGAAACCAGATACATCATCAATAATCATATCCAACCTTGTCTTTTTAACTCTCATGATCTGCATAATCAATAAAAATAAAAAATTAAAGAAGCATCTTCACACTTCGGATTCTTCCCCTCAGAAAGAGTTTTTCTGTTTTTTGCTCTTTTGTTGTAAAATCTCCATTTTTGCAAAAAAAGATGCAAAAAGCATCAATATCAGGATCTGCACGAACCGTGGGAAGAGCCAAACCACATGAAAGCAACACAGAAAAGGTAAGGCACGTCAGAGGCGTGAAAAATAAAAATGACAAGCGGTGGAAATTTAGTGTTTTAAATGAGTGAAGTGGAAAAATCTAGTCAGATACTTCATAACACCTGGGCCAGAAGTTGTACTGGACAAATGTTGATCACCTGCTTCAAAACACTGTGTGAATGATTTTATCTACAGCGTGGAGCTGTGAAGGAGCCACGTTAGCACTCTGCTTTAACAGGATGCAAACACTGTTGATTTGGCTCCAAACGATGAGTCAAGTTCCTCGGGATTCGCTTGTTTGCATTCACATAGGGACCATTTTTGATCCGAGGACACCACGAGGGTTAACTTTAATGAAATTAGACCTGATTTGAAGCAATAAAGTGACAGTTGGTCTAAACCACAGTCTGATGTTTGTGTTGTAAGTTTTCTTCTGTTTGTTTGTTCTTTGCATGAGTTAACATGTAACCTGTATTTGTCTGTTAATAAAAGGTAACGTACACCTGCACCGGTGGTTGCAGGGTTAAAACAAAAGACAAAATGATTCACACCTGCAGCCAGATTGGAAACACCTGGTAACCAATCATACTTATCTTTGGACTAGGGCTGTATCCCAATCCAGGGTCTGCAGCCTTAAAGGCCGCATTTTAAGGCCGATTACGTCACCGCGACCCGACGAAGGCTGTCCCAATTCGAAGGCTGCTCGAAATTTTGCCTTCAAATGCGTCCTTCATTTCCCTGAATTTTAAGGACGTGGCGGTGTAGACTTCGTGGCCCAACATATCCCAGAATGCATAGCGCGGCGGTGGGTGTGGATAATTTTGCCGGAAAAAAACGGCGGATGAGGGGCGCCCGAAGAGTAAACTTTAAGTAAGTACTGAATATTATGTCACTTATTTATGTGCAAATGTTTAATAACGAAGAACATTAAAACATTACTGTTGGCCACATGTCGGCAAAGTCATGTGACATTAGTGACGTTTGTACTAACTTGGTTTTAAAGCCTTTACTTTAAAATATACGCCGTTCAATAGCTGACCTTAATCAGAGGATGATCAAAGCTCATGTAGAAACAAACAAACAAATGAACAAAAGATTTTCTTCATTTCTGTCAAACAAAGCTGTATGAAACGTTTCCAGCTGTTAGTATCATGGTTGCTATGCAACCTGGGCAGAGCAACGGAGGCTAGACCGTCCCATTTCACAAGCCTCGCACTTCCGGCCTTAGCGG